GGTGATGGTGTGGGTAGACATCATCAAGAAAGCAATCACGTGTTGAATTTCGGATGGGCGAGAGATATCAATATTAATCCTGGCTTTAATCGTCCTGCTCTTGCATTTTATGACCACAGACAACTATCTCGAAATGCCACCGAGTCATGCATAGTATACATCAACTTTTCCAGGCAAGGCCCCTAATAATCGGTGCGATTTTTCATTACGGCCCCCGGGGTGATTATTTGGCGATACCGTACGTCGGCCGTTGGACTGTATTTTCACACGTCGGTTGAAATTACTTTTGTCACCCTGGGTCCCGTAACGTCGAGTCTGAAACAAAGGGATAGGATGCTAACAGGTTGATAACGTGTTGGCTTAGGAAATGATCTCGCTCCCTTAATCACCATCATTTCCTTGAGATGCTGCGAAGGGGCGACTCATGGCGTTGGGCTAAGACAAGGAGGTGGCGGGAAAAGCACGCCAAGGCAATGCGCAATTTTTCACTGCAATCTGTCGTCTGTCTGACTCATGGAAATTGCGAGATGTATCTTCGGTTTTTCGGTTGTTGTGGAAACGGTATGGAGGGTTGTTTTTTAAAACTTTATCATGATTCATTCATTTTGATCGATATTCTAATTACTGAGAAGTCAATTTTGTAACATCTCATATCTATTTCATATTAATATCGTCAGTATAAAACATAGGAGACAATGAATGCATACTTCCATCTGACACCGTCTGGTTTTTCATTCTACCAGAGAGATGGGGGTTTGCTTATTTCCTTAAAGAATGTTATATTAATCACTTTATCTCTATACAATCCTTATATTTAATGTGATAACATAACTAACAATCTTCTTTATCATCATCATCGTCATCATCTTTATCACCGTCGTCATCATCAATTATTATAGTGAACAAGATAAAATAGACAATTTCGTAATGTAATCAAATTTAATGAATAAATCTTTGTTAAGTGCCATGATACAAAATATTTTATTTACTTGTCGAATAACTGTATTTCAATAGTTATAATGCACATTGCATACATTAATTGTTGTTAGGTAGGACAACAATAAGTGCTAGTTCAACCAAACAACACAGAATCTATGCAATCTGTTTATTTTTTTCAATTTTATTGATTAATTAATTTATTTAATCACTCATTTATTTGTTTATGCATTCATTCATTTCTTATTCATTTATTTGATTATTTATAAATTATTTATGTATTTATTTATTTATTTATCTATGTAGGCCTACATACTTATTCATTAATTCGTTTATTGGGCATTTCGTTGGCTATAATAGAAGGTTAGTTCTTTTTTTGGGGGGGGAGGGGGGGGGGGGGAGGTGTTGGCCAATATCTTAATAATATCTTCTCTAAGGCATCAACAGGCAACATCCATCGCAATAAAAACAAAGCTATAGGAGGAGTATATGTATCCCTTTCTGCCCCCCCCCCCCTAATGGCGGCGCCATTGTGTAAAAGGAGACCGAACAGGGATCAGTGCGCGATGCTTACCGCGAGACTCGGCTAAGCTCGGTGTATTGGTACCTGGTAAGTTAACCCGCTCGTTTTCATGAGTAAATCCTCAAGTAGAAACATGAGCGAGAAATCTTTCGGTAGCTGGATTAAGCTATTAATGAGTCTGTAACCCTCCACGATACCGTAGTTGATTTGGATTCAGTCGCTAAATTCAGCGCATGAGAGAAGCGATCATGATGATGGTAATGAATACATTTAAGCCTGGTAATCCGTATCATAAGAAAGAAAATATTGCTACGAGGGGTTCGATTATAGGTTCGATTATCTCATTTTATCATAACAGAAAAACACATCTTTATTCCCCTTTCAAGACCACTGAATATAAACAATCTTTAAATAGGAGCATTGTAATGGGGATGGAATATCAACTTTGCATAAACATTGCAATAAAGTGGATGAGAACAAAATGCTTTCTTAGAAATTATCTAATGTATCATCTTAGAAATAGAAATGTGTTGGTTTTGAGCGTTTATAAGACGGAGAGAACATAGCGAGGAAATTAATGAGGAATGGCTTTTGAAAACACTTATATATCATTTGTTTGGAGTAACGAAATTATTACACCTCAGTGAAAGGCGATGCTGGTCGAAGATGTAAAGAGAGAGAGAGAGAGGGAGAGAGAGAGAGAGAGGGGGGAGAGAGAGAGAAAGAGAGAGAGAGAGAGAGGGATAATGAGGCCTATTTTTGTTTGTTTGTTTGTTTGTTTGATTATAGAATATAATACTATGATATAGGCCTATATTATAAAAAACAGATAGCTGATATCACTTATGTTGGAGACAAAGAAAATGTAACAAAGCAATGTAGGCCCATGAATAAAAAGAGAGAGAGAGAAACACACACACAGACAAACGGAATAGGAATCATGCGAAATTAATTTGATATCAAAGTTTGAGCCTGGAAAACTCTCTTCGACACTACCATACATGACGCGTGTGTGTCTCATCAGGTGGCAGTCGGTATCTTCATTAGACCGCTGCTAGATCAGTTAATGAGTCACGCTGTATCAGCGGAGAAAGTCGAAAATTACCGATGACATAAACCTGATAGCATTAGGAGTCTCATTCACGAAGAAGCCACTGCTTGTTACCGCTCCCATCAGGTGGGGAAAATTGTGAATGATACATGGGAGAGGTGGATCGGGATGAGAGTTTTGCAGATGGGGGTAGTAGGAAGAAGGGGGGAAAACAGACGAAACATGAGCAAGGAAATGTTATCATGATATCTATGAGTTACTCAGATGCACACAGCATATTAAGAAATCCAGAAATAATTGATATTAGCAGGAGAGTAGAATTCTTGCCAGACCGGGGATGGGCGAGGGTGGAATAAAGAGTCCCATGTGCCACAGATCCATTGCTATTGTTGTTGTTGTTTTTTTTCTTTGGGCCTTCAAAGGTAAAATGGGAAAGGGGGGGGGGGGGGGGCTTCGCCCGGTTCCATCATATCCTGGATACGCCACTCAATGAAGGCAGAAATGAAAATTGACAGAAGGGATTGGCCAGAAGAGATGATTACATATTTATGTTGATTTTACTGTTTTGCAGATGAATAAAGGAAAAAGATAAATACAGAAGAAGTGGATTTTTCAGATGGAAAGAGATTGGCAAAGAAAATTATCTAAATTCTGTAGGTGTCAAAATAATTTGCAGATAAAGGTAGGCAGTCAGACTTAATCCTCAGAGGAATAGGCAGCTAGAACTAAAAGTGTTTTAAAAAGGATGATGCAATTTAAGGAACGGTTAGAGATATACATAAGAGAGAAACAGAGAGAGACAGAGAGAGAGAGAGAGAGAGAGATAGAAAGAGACAGAGAGAGAAGGCCTTTTTGGAGGGGGAGGCGGTAAAAGCATATTATATTGGTAAAAGAAAGAAATAAATGATACAAAGAATGTGAGGGAGAAAGTAAATATATACCAAAATGCAGAAGAGAGAGAGAGAGAGAGAGAGAGAGAGAGAAAGGCGGAAGGGGTGTTGTTCATTTTTTTTCTTTATGGGAACAAATAAAGCTAAATAGACATACACACATTAGAATGATCATTGATCACAATAAACATTAATATTATATTGTGGTTGACTTCCTTTCCTCAAAAGAGGGCAATACAAATACTTTCCCCGAGTAATAACATGGTTTTCATAACGTGTCTTATTCGGACCCGGCTCCGTCAACTTTGCTATCTTACAGTAATCGGATCTAGAAAAACTTGCGCAAGTTTCCTGGCTACATCCTCTTCCCTGCACAGATGATTGCGAAAGAATCGTCTATGATGTGGGCGAAAGTGAGAAAAATATGTAATTTTTGGCCGTACATCAATATTCTTCGCAGATCAGAGAATAACGGGGTGAGAAGAAGTGAGAGAGTTGAATTAGTTCCCAAACAAATAGTGGCATATCCAGAAATTGACTAATATGCAGGGGAGTGGGGGCGCGAATATACACGATTGTATCTTCATTTTAGCCTTACGGTCTGTAGACCAAGATGTTGCTTTTTCCCCTCGAACCTGATTAAATCAGGGGGCAAACATGACTGTTACTTGCAATAGTCATCAACTAAAGTGAATTAAATAAATGAATTAAATGCGACGAATAACTTTGCGAGTCTTTTGTGCCCGGCCCCCCCCCCACTCACTGTTATTTAGGGTACGCATATGCGTGTTCCAACCGACCCCCCCCCCCCCTTTTCAGCAAAAGTCCGGTGTGTAAAGTCAATACGGCTCGACCTTTTTCTTTTGTATACGAGCCTTTTTCAGCACCCCCCCCCCCCCTTTTCAGCAAAAGTCCGGTGTGTAAAGTCAATACGGGTCGACCTTTTTCTTTTGTTACGAAAAGGACATTTTGGCAACACGCATGGGGTCCGTCCGTTCTCGGAGTGGGGGGGGGGGGGGGGGGGGCTGATACCCCCTTTATAACCCTTTATAACTATACTCTATTATAACCATAACTATATAAATTGAAGCGGCTGATTAAAAATGTTAGTATCTTGCAATAGTCATCAACTAAAGTGAATTAAATAAATGAATTAAATGCGACAAATAACTTTGCGAGTCTTGTGTGCATCAGTGCAAGGCCGGCATGGGCCAAGGATGACGATTATTGGAGCAGTCACCCCTTCCCCCTCACGGTCCATAACTGGTTAAATCGAATGCAATGTGACCCCAACCATGTTGCGCCCCTCCGAAAAAATGGACGAAAGCCCCTGTTTAAGTTTTTTTCTTTTTTTTCTTTCTGTTTTTATTGTTTTTTCTGAAAAATTAACAGAGTAAAAGCAGCAATATAAAATATAATATCATCTTAAAACTACAAAACAGGCACGCACTCATGCACCCATAGCCCCTGTTTAAGTTAATCACTTTCTATGCCATTAGGTTTGCATAGTTCTCCAGATCACTTGAATGTCATTGTCGATGTGTTAAGCTTGTTATGTTGGGGAAAACCCGGCCAGTCCAAAGTACAATAATAATTAACCTTGCATAGAATGTCTGGTTGTAGGTCTACTGGTTGTCTCGTGTTATAATTTCTATATAGATATTTCCTTGTAGACGATCACTTATAGTCACTAGATATCACCACATAATTACCAGGCCTACATTCAAATCTACAAGACTTGTTGTCTGTTATGGAATTCACTCCATAGTGTAGCAGTGATTACTGGTAATTTCTTTGTGATCTTTCAATGTTCTAGGCTTGTGTATGTTCTGGAGGAAACTACTTTGTTCTTTTCAAATTCAGGTCCGGAAATGTGTAGCCTACGCTACATGGCTGTATACAACTAGCTGTAGGCCTACCTGACAACTAAAGTCTGCTCTCTTTATGGGGGAATTGTCAATAGTTCTCGAGTCGGCTTTTATGATGTGAGTATGATTAGGAAAAATATTGCCTATGCATAATAATTATGTATGTGTATTATGATAATTTGGTATGGATAGAACCACCTTTGGCATTTTGTATGGTAGCCGCGAAGAAAAAGACAGTCGTGAGAACTACACCACGGTTCGTTTGTCATGTGATTGAACGTAATTCAAAGAAAATGATGACTACAATTTTATAGACCTAAATATATTCCACGTAAAGGCACAAACATGTTGGAAAAGAAAGCCATTTCAAAAAATAATGTTGGCTTAATTATTACAGCCTAAATTACGCGCAGTGTATTTAGCCGCGTTACTTTTGGCAACTGATTGAGTTACTGCGTGCATTAATGATATTATTGAACGGTATTGTAAAGTTGATGCATTTTTAAAGGCATGTGGAGGCCCTCGAAATAGGCCCCTTTTCATTCACCTGTAAAGAATAATAGTATTTCAATAGACAGAATCCGAACTGCATACATTAGTTGTTGCCAGGTTGGACAAACATTATGGCCCAAATTCACAAAGCAAGGTTTGAGCTCAGACCAAGGTTTGAGCTCAAACCTCCTTTTGTTTCGCCAAACCTCCTTTTGTTCTTTACAAACCAGGTTTGTAAAAAACGCGTAAAACGCGTCATATGACGTACGAAAACCAAGGTTTGTCGACAAACCTCCTTTGTGAATTCGGGCCTATGGCTTGACCTACCTAGCAACAATTAATATATGCAGTTTGCATTCTTCCTATTGAAATACTATTAGTCTTATCAGGTGAATGAAATAGCTTGTATTGAGGCACTTCACAAAGAGGTATGCAATAAATTTGGTTACATTACGAAAATGGCCTATTAGCTGTTGAATATCGTGATATAGAGATATAGGATGATTAATGGTCTTGCCATGTACCTAAATACTGAGTTATTCGCAATCTCGAGTTGAGTGAATACATTTTTGGTTAGAGAGAAAATAATTATGATGTGGTATCTGCAGGTTTGATTGTGATTTCCAACTAGACCAGGGCTTAGCCTATATTCCATGTACTTTGTACTATGATGCTACAAGTATGCCGAAACATGTATCAAATTGTATAGGAAAGAGAACCTCAACACTAGACTGATTCAACTTAATCTAATCGTATAGAAAGCATTTGTATAGGACTACACTGAAATTGAACATTATCTAACGACATGTCAGTTACGTGACGTTAAGTTGACTTGAGAGAAAGAAAACAATTCACTGAGAACAAAGAGTGAAAAAAAACGAAGCGAGGAATTTGTATTGTATTGTATGGGTTTATTGAGATAAAAATGCAGGCACCTGACTCTGTCAAAAGTATCATAATGACATTCCAAACATGCTTCCAAGCTGTGATCTCATCACGAATGCCGCCAGTCAGCCATACGTTTTAAAAACACAGAACTGTGCCTGGAACTCTACAAAATGCCTGCGCAAAAGAAACCGAATCGCTAAAAATCACGGAAATGCATGTGCAGTTGTGGCGTACAAATGAATATTGACGTTTTCAATAGGCAATTAGAAGTACTTTACAAGAGAAACATGTAATTTTGGCTGTTACACAATGATTTTAAACTTCATTTTAAAACTTATCCTATCCATTTCCAAGGAATAGAAGGTAATAGCACAGTAAAGAAGTTTATGTATTTTTTAAAGTTTGGCAAATCCAGATGTATGTCCACCAGTGTCCACTTCTTTAATAATCAATTTAATATCACACAAATTGTCATACGTTGGGGCATGGGCGTCAATCCTTTCGTAATACCTATTGTTCAGGGGGGGGGGGATAAATGAATAGATCACCCCCCTGAACAATAGGTATCAATTACAGATTAACGCCCATGCTTTGGGGTTCACTGCTTCTCTAACTGGTCTTAAATCGCGATACTTTTCTTGAAACTGCACTCTAGGCCCTGGCCCAGCGAAAAGAATCTGAAGAAATGTAAAAGGTTCTTTTGTCTGTGATGATGCGTGATTACATAATCAACATTGTCGCGTCAAATGAATGTCCTCATAAACATTCACATTATTAGGTGGTGGCCGTGGTCATGATGTGATCAAAGAAAGACTCTCATTATTAGTCCATCTGTAGTAGGGTCTATGGTATAACATTAGTGAATTATTTTCTACAATGCACTCTAAAAGGAATATAGAACGCAGTAATTTAAAGAGACGATATATTTTTTTAACTAGAAAGGGATTTGATTCATTAATCGTCAAATAATTTCACTGCACTAATGCCCGTTCAACGCACAAATGTTAAAACGGGATGAGCAAAAATGTTCGTGAGGAATGTTACAGATTGTCACTTTGTTTGATATTAGACAAACTAATCAGACTATTGTCTTTTACTTTCAATAAGCGAGTTCGTAATCGAACCCAAATTGTAAAACCATTGAGACGAATACTCGGCTCGTGCTCATGAAAGTTATGTAACAGTACATTTATCTGATACACAGGTGGAAGTATTCTTCTCAAGAGGCAAACAAAAGGTATTCATGAAGTACCTTCATCCCTTTGGCAGTGATTATTCTAAAATGCACATGTGGGACGTACCCATCGTGTAAAAGATCTGTGGATATTTTGGGGTCATGCGTTCCAGAGCTATTTACGAACTCGCTTATTCTAGTACAATTCAGAGGATCCCTATTTTCTGAATTCTTATCATGTTCTTTCAATTGTCGGTGTATTGAGTATTTTTCATAAAGTGCACTGGTTGTCAAGTTCAACATTGATGGTGATCGCAAAGAGTATTCTGTTTGCGAAATTAGAAACTTTTAGATTCTGCACGACAAGAACGCGGACTGCCCTTTTAAGGCAATGTGACGTCACTACCAGTGCCTTAAAGGGCCTAGACGTCACATTGCCTTAATAGGGCAGTCCACGTTCTCGTCGTGCAGCATCTAAAAGTTCCTAATAAAATTCAAGTTAGGGATAAAAATTTCCTGATTGAACAATTCGGTGGAAAATTCGGTCGGTTGGCAAGTAATGAAAGGTTTTAAGAAACCTCAAGAAATCTCACTGTGAAAGCACTTGGGCATGTCCATAAACGTACTGTGATTTATAAGCTATCTCAATTCCCCACCACCTTCACATTTCTAATTTTGTTTTTTCTCTCTCTGTTCCTTCTTTTGATAGACTACATGTATCTTGGAGCGGTCCAGAATGGCGTCCGCATGCCAGGCAACACCGGCCGAGCTGGAGTGTGCCATCTGCTGCGAGCTACTTATCGACCCGAGGAATCTAGATTGCTCCCATACTTTCTGCATGGCATGTTTGCTCCGTCTGTATCAAACCAAGCAAGATTTCAACTCTGTGGACTGCCCACTCTGCCGTCACGTGACTTGTCTGGAGGAAGGGGACCTATCCAGCTTGCAACCGAATGTGGGCATCCAGACTGCGGTCAAAAGCCTGGAGAAGAAAAACGACTCCTTGAAGGAACGTGTGGAGGCTAGGTTGAACATGCTTCTTGAATATGTCTCGCTTATCAATGATGTCGAGGACGCTGTTAACATCGATCTTAATCGAGCTAAGAACGCCATCGAAGAGGCATTCAATGACGGCCTCCAGAGACTGACCGGAAGGAACGATGAGCTCATCGAGAAATGTCTTCACTACAAACATGACCGTATTTCGAAGTTGAGTATAATGAGAGAGTCCAGCGGTGATATGGTTTCGCGGATCTCTAGTGCCTTTGAGAAGATATCTGGCGATGCGATGTTGTTGTTGGAAGGCGAGGCTTTGGCTGTCCATGAGAGTGCATGCGTTGCGTTACTGAACCTGCTAGATCAAGACGAACCGGATGCTTCAGAGGCACAGGCAATTGCAGAGGACTCTGCCAGTGTGAAATTCATGCGTCCTCCAGGACAAATCGAAATGGACATGGGTACTCTTCAAGGAACAGATACCACAACAACGGACAAAGCAAGGTTTGTCACTGAACTCCCTGTTGAGAATGATAAAGTGGCAGGCCTGGTGATGATGTCCAACCAAAGAGTCGCTTTGGGATTCAGAAACGGGGGCATTCAAATTTTCAACAGAAACGGTGCACAAGAAAAGATCCTAGAAAACATACAAGTGTCGGCTCTTGCTAGGTTTCCCGATGGGCGTTTTGTTGTGAGAGATAGAGATAACAACATCACGCTGTACACTCAAGAGCTAGAAAGACAGAGCACGACATTCGAGACATTGCCTTGGCAGGAAGGTGGGCAAGGGGACATTGACGTCGATGGTCAGGGGAACATCTACGTCAGCTACTGGCTAGCCATGACGATACAAGTGTTCAGTGAAGACGGTGGCATACCTATCAAGGAAATAGATTGCAGTGGATGTGTACCATATCAGCTCTGTATCCGTCCCAACGGGAAGTATATTCTTGTTCAGGATGGACCAACCGTTCGGGTCATCGACGAAGGTGGTATTGAAAAACACGAGGTAACCAAAGGAGGGGTTGTGGGTTATCCTGCATTTGACACGGTCCCCTGTCTCGGTGACGATGTACCCACTATTTTGATCGCTTGGGTCAACGACAAAGAAGGACTTGTTACCATCGACAGTTACACGGACTCTTTGACTCACAAGGATTCCCTTTTCACGGACTTCAAAGTGGCCAGTGCGTGGCCTTCACGGTGCTTCCTCAAGGTTTCTGATGAAGGCTTGGTCGCATTCTATCGCAATTCCCGTTTGTATTTCTTCCACATTCCATTGTCCGCTCGTTGTTGCCTTCTTTAAGACTGTTCAGCCAATGAGCCATACTGAAAGTAGAGGGTTGGAATGGAATTTTCTGACTCGACAGTATACGTCGTGTTCAGTTGCCTCTATCTCGGAACATTCCACAATTTGGATCTAGGAAATTCAGATGATATTTGACTTGCTATAAAAGACATGAAGGAACAAGCAATGCATACAGACATGACAATTTCACCACAACGCATATTCCAGGATTATTATGGAACCTAGGCTGTATTTAAATAACCAAGCAAAAACTTCTACCATCTACAAGGCCTTTCCTGCTAATACGTGTAAGCATAACCATAAGGATACCTTCAGCATGTTAAACAGACTCATCCTCTTTGCTCGCTAACGCGAAGCCAAAACAGAGGAAGGGGAACATCTTCCTTGACCAAGTTATATTTTCCTTTCTCTCCTTTGGTCAAGAAGTGTCCTTAGGCTACACGACCTCTCTCAACAGGTATCGTGAGTTGATTGTAAAATCTGTCATCGTCGAAACGGTGCTCGACATCGGATCCTGGTATCGGGTTGAAATTGGCGATGACTTCGGTCTGGAAATGTTTAGGATTTTGATTAATCAGCAGCGCGTGGTTGGTGTATGTGCAGGGATAACGCGGTTAAGGAGGCGAGGGAGAATTTGGAGTGGAGGGACGTCCGTGTATTAAGGCATGGCTGAACAAAATGAGGGGGGGGGGGGTAAGGATATGGAACGAGACTTTGTGAACATGGACATTTTACAACAAAGGAAAAGAAAGGTAGAAGGCACAGACAAAAGTATTTGAGTAAACGTAATACATATATCTAACTAACCAGTAATAGTACAATATATATTTAAACTTACCCATTATAAATGTGAATCAAGCTTACGGTATATATAAATGTAGAGAAATGTTAAAGATTTGATATTAATGTGCTACATTCCTTTCATTTCAATTTGAAAAATACATAATCGTCTCGTAAAATCTACTTTATGAATGTCATAAAAATGACTTCCTGTACATGAAGAAATAAAATCTGTTTATTTTGATAAAGAGATTTTCTGTAATTTCTTTAACTTTGATGAAGAATACGACGGATTTATATTAACGTCTATCGTCAAACAGCTAACCTTTCTCTTTAAGATACACCAAGTTCGTTTAAACATTTCACTTTGTTGAAAATAAGGACCTGACAGATGCATGAGTCATGAATATGACAGAACCGGAGTTTTGTTTCCTAATTCAATTTACCCCGCACGCTTAAAGACAATGCTTCGCAAATGTAATTACCAATCCTAATAATTTTCTTTTGGGCCATTCACATTTTTTCCCTTTGTGTGGGAATAAGTTTTTATGAATATCGTCAGATCCATTCTTATGTCGATTATGATAAATTACATCTAATTGCACATGATTGATTTCGTAATTCTTACCAATGTTTTTTAATGGAAAACTTGCAGTGGCTATTGCCAAGTTCTGGGGTGAAATGTTAATGTTTGCGCGCCCGTCCATATGCAAATTGAGTTTTGAATACACAGTCATGACCTACTCCTTCCCGGAAACATGTTTACCATTGGAAGTACTGAGCTAATTCTAGATGACTAATTTCCTGGAAGTTTGTATACAGAGTACAATAACATTTTCTCATGATGACGTATACTATAGCTATTAATATGTCAGCTTCTCTCCATACATCGTAGAATGAGATGAAAATGAATTTCGGTGCTTTTTTGTCTTCCTGTCTTTGGTCTTCTCGTACTTTATACAAATATAGCAATATTCCTGAATGTGAAATTGTGTTTTATATCATCTGTAAGTAAGTAATGCAAGTATAATTGTCTTTATTTTTTCAAGATTTGTTTATCCAGAATCACTGAAAACATAATCGTCATCAAGAAAAAATAAAGAAAAGATAAATAAATCTGAAGCGTACTGAATCCAATCTTTGATGCATTTGACCGTGTAGAAGCATTATGATAAGTAGAGTGGTTTTGTATTTTTTTTTTATACATATGGATATGCATATCTGTTTCTCGGAGCGCAACAGGAGTTTGAATCAGCCTACGATATGATTCAATTAGCGAGCCTGTTCGCGCCATAAAGCAGATGAACTAGTCACGTGATTGATTTGTCGTCTGCTTGATTTGAATGGCAGTCCAGCTCTTACGGTGTGACTGAGGAACGAGTGTGAACGAAAGATGATTGGGTTGGAGAGGAGATGTGACAGAAAAGGAGCACAGAGAGATAGAGAGGGAGAGAGAGAGAGAGAGAGAGAAAGAGGGAGGATGAAAGGGAAAAGATGGAGGGGTAAAAAGAGGTGTAAGAGAAGAGAGAAAGAGCATTACGAAAGAAAGAAAGAGAGGGTAAGGGAGAGATTGAGAGAGAGAGTGAGAGAGAGAGAGAGAGAGAGAGAGAGAGAGAGGGGGGGGGGGGGGGGAGAGACATAGGTATCTGGGAAAGAAAGGGGGGACAGAGCACTTCAACAGATGATTATGTTCATAATGAAAAGTGGAAATTAGTGCATATTAGGTATATGAAGGTAATGACAATTTTACAGATTGATTAAAAAAATGAAAATAAAACAAGATAATAATAATAATAATAATAATAATAATGTTAATAATAACAACAACACTAATAACACCAAGAATGTGAACAACATGACGGCTATAATTATAATGCGCCAAAAATAATTGTGTACTAATTTACAAAACATTGTACTTTTTGGAGATACTATTGTTAAAAACAAATAGGAAGAGCAACAAAAGTCTTTAAAAAAAATACTCAAAAATAGGAGGGAAAATAAATCGAGAAAAAAAATAAAGCAAAACATGCATTAGACCGTTATTACAGACAACGACCTATATCATTCCCGATTGCGATTGCTCGTAATCAAATTATCGAAGTGATATCGCTTCTAGACGAGCCAAGCGCGAAATCGCTGTTCGCTTGTAGACAATTTGGTTCACAAACATGTTGCTTGTTAGTCTTCTTTTAAGGTTTTTCGTTTATTGAAGAAGCCTCACTGGGTGTAATATATTACAAGTGCACTCTCGTCCCTATGCCACTTAACACTTCTTTTAATACCTGCTTTAAAGACACTGCTGGCAATTGTCCTTCCTTTCATTTTATTCAAATATATTTACCACGATTGACGTCAATCAAAATTATGTATCTTTAAAGATCTCTTTGTTTTTTGTAGCTTCGTTTTAGAACCCCCCTTATCCTTTTTCTGAATCTTTTAATTTATATACTAGCACCACTAACTAATATATACGTAATGGCAATTTCGAATTCAAAGCATGAATGAAAAGGATGTCAGAAAAGTAGGCCCTACGTAGGAAAGTTTCGTATTACAACCAGGGTTTAATAATAAAAGAATGATTAGGCCTATGCATTTTTGTAAGCACAATTCATCTTTAACAACAAAAAATATCTGAAATGGTAAGAGTACACGACTTTTAGGAGACTAGTTGTGACGTTTCGCATCCACCACGATGAACGCGGCTTAAAGAAGCAGAAGACGAGAACAGAAACCTGCCACAGAAATTACCGCCCAAAATATGGACCAAATTCGATTAGTGAATATCTTAGCGTACAAAAAGGATAGATATAAGGGACTTTAGTGTTCTTTCGCCTGGCTGTACATGCATGATTTTTCTCTCTCTTTTGGTATGAAAAGCAAGACCTAATTTTGTGTTTTCAAGCGAAGGACGTGATCGTGTTTGATTGGGAAGACATGGTTAGTGAAAACTATGGTTTGCTCGAAGTCAATTACGGGTTCATTGACGCGGACTCTAATTCCGATGACGATGGTGATGGTTTAAACCGTGTATGAAATGTTTTGTGGTATTTATTCGACGTAAATAAACTCAAGGATATCATTCAATTGTTGATATGCAGCTTACCGCAGCTGTATTGTGGCTTATAATTGTACAATATCATTGTTACTTGTTTATTGTGCTTAAGCAGGTAACGTATTAATCAAATACAATCTGAAAAGTGGAGATGTATATAGCTATTGTGTTTTTTTTCTTCCTCTGTAACAAGAGCTATTCTCAACAATTCATAGCTAAAAATATTAAACTGAATTGTGACTATAAATTATAAAGCTACACTGTATAACGAAATATGGAAAGAACAGCTACTATATTATAATGTTGATATTGTTTTAGATACTATTATTATCATCACCCTCGGTATTATTGTTCATTATTAGTATTACTATTTCTTCTTCTATTACTATAGTACTACTACTACTACTACTACTACTACTACTACTACTACAACTAGTACTACTACTACTACTACTACTCCTATTACTAGTACTACTACTATTATAAAGATTTGGGAGATACAGTTGTGGAGACACATTCTTGAAAAGGTTGTAAATTTGGATGAAATGTAACGATTTTGGAGGCCCATTCAAGCAAGTGTCAATATTATCACACATCCAGAATGTTTTTCGATATCAAATCGAATTCTGCTCAAATTATCAAAATGAAAAACCCTTTGCTCAATTTGCCGTTAATTCCACTGAAGCACAAATAATACATTTTTGTTCTCACTGGTAATCTTTTACCAGTTTTTCGTCTAATACTGACATAATTCTTTAATTTCTTATCTCTATCTAATCATGAAAACGAGTAAGCCAAGATAAAATCGCTTTCCACTTCTATAAAAATAGTTTACGTCATAGCTTGTGGATTTTGAAAATGTTGATTCTGAATACCTTTCACATGTTTGCACGGATACCAACACACCTGTGGACGTGCACCATGATCTATACATGCTTCCCTCATCGGACGAGAGTGGGTCACAATCATATCCAATTCTACTTTAACACGACTTCATACATTTAGCCTTTCACATCAGTCTGCCTCACCGGGCAGCCGAAACCAAAGCAAAAATCGTCTCGTCCTTCTCACCTGCTCTAGAATAGGTGTTATGTCGTGTTTTTGGCGCTCTTTTGACACTTTCCCAAACATGGTGTTCTAAACTTGGCTACAAGCCGTGCCATTTCTAGCGTCTTCGTAGCGGGCCGGGTCGTGATTAATTGCATGCTGGGGTAGTTGCCCCCATGCATGCAGGTCGTCCGCGCTGCATGCATGCTCTCATTCTCCTGATATAGTATTAGGCATCGGTGAGTCTCCACCACCATCACCATAACAGCTTGATCTAATATCAAAGCCGATCCACTTTTTGCCTGTTGAATTCATGCGCAACTGATGACAGGAGATGAAAGACAAACACACTAGGGTTGGGTGAGGTTAGGTGCCAGACCTCGTCACTGCCTACCTGTCTCCAATTTGCATCCAACATCTTCCCGCGTTTTTTTTTTTTTGGCGCCGAGTCGAGCCGAGCCGACCTGACCGATCCTCTTCAGTGATCAATAGAGTGCATTGTGGGGGCACGGTGGGGTCAATGATTTCTAGATGAAACTCTCTTCACGCCTGCTCAGGCAAAATATGAACCATCGTTTAGCCGATATTTGCTCTGCATGGCTCTCTTTCTTGGAGTATAGAAACGAAATACTTGTAGATTACAGCACACTAAGTTGGGGAACAAATTTAAATTGTGAAACTGTATTTATGTATCACATAATAATTTGTATAGCTGTATTTTTGGTATTAGTTGAATGGAGAGAAGACGTTTGTTTTTAGTTAGAATCAAGGATGAATAGTAAACACATCTCAAATCCTTTTCCATTGGAAGAACGTATAACTAAAAACACCACTCCAGATTATCCAATCCCTCATGACTATAAAGTTCATGTGACTTCAAACAAAAACAAAATTTTCAACCCTTGCGAAAAAAAAGAAGAAAAAAGAAGAAGAAGAAATCCTCTCCAATTTCTTATGTTTACTCTCAAAAGACTAACACACTTGATGAAAGTCTTGACGATAAGTCCGTTGACTTGTTGTTTAACATGTTTATACATCCAGGAGGTATGATCCGAACAATTGGGAAGAAAGCACGACCTGCTTTCCCCGAAGGCACTTGTAGATTTGTACCTGTTCACCGCTTTCCTTCCCAATGCAACGACTGCTGTTGGGAGCTGGGAGATTTGATAACACAAATGGATTGGAAAGCTCTAACAAGATCAGCGAGGTTTCGGGAAAGATGCACCGCCAAAACAATTCCCCGCGATGATGCATGTCTTTCAAGGGCTTTGGGGATAAAAAAGTTCTGCCTGATAATTCTAATAAATGAAATTTGCTGTGCTTGCTGTACGTCGATGCGCACTTGGACGATGATTTTGGCCTACTTCCCGACATGTTGTTTTCTCTGAACCTCTATAGGAATGTCACGCCGTACACAAGGCGAGAAAGTTGTATGAAGGGATGGGGAAGGCGGTGTACGGATAAGACAACGCTTGAAAACTAAAGCGGGTGCTAAAAATCTGTTTTTCTGAAGGTTTTCTGAACATTAATGTTCTGAAAATATGCCGTTCCAGCTTATTTTTGATTGTCTGAAGTGGTCTTTAACAATTGGCTAAAGAGGCT